TAACTAATGAAAATCAACCAAATAATGTATCGATACAAAGTAGATCTAAAGATAAACAAAAACTTTTAAAACATAAATTATCAAAATTAAATTGGAAAGAAGCTATTGTCTTGAACCACAATTTTTATTATTTGAACCTACATTACTTTCTAATGAAATTTCATAGTTAAAATTACCAATTGATTATTTTTCTTATTTTTTTAATGATGATCTTTATGTCCACATAAAATGTCAATCAATATTATACTCAAAAAAACAGATTAAATAATTTACTTAACATCACTAATACGGAGTTAAAACAATATGTAGGGATTTGCTTATTCACATCTATTGTACAAATACCTATTGTTCGAAGATACTGGAATACTGACATAGGATTTACACCCATCAAAAATGTTATGTCAATAAAACGTTTTGAGCAGATCAGAAGATTTATTCATTTTAATGATACTACTTCTGCATATCCTAAAGACCATAAATCACATGATAGGCTCTACAAAATAAGGCCAGTCATTGAACATCTAAATAAGCAATTTTCAAAAGTTCCTCTTGAGAGAGATCTATCCAAAGATGAACAACTATGTGCTACAAAAGCACACAGTTTTCTTAAACAGTATCTACCATTAAAACCACATAGATGGGGTTACAAATTTTTTGTACTCTGTGGTTCTTCTGGATATTCTTATAAAATTGAGCTATACACTGGGCAAGAAAATTTTGAACAATATAGACTTCAGTCAGAGCCAGATCTAATGGCTAATGCTAATGTTGTAATAAGATTGAGCCGCGCCATACCAAAGCATAGGAATCACAGAGTATATTTTGATAACTATTACACAACAATACCATTAATAACATATTTAGTCAGTCAAGGAATCCATTCCTTAGGAACTGTACGGCGAAACAGAATACCAAACTGTACATTTTTAGCAGAAAAAGTTATTAACAAGAAATCACGGGGAACATCATATGCTTATATAGTTGTTTATGATAATATTCCAGTGACCTCAGTATTTTGGAAAGATAATAAGCTTGTCACATTGCTCTCTTCGTACTGTGGTATTTTACCTGATAAAACCATATGTCGTTTTGACAAAAAAGAAAGAAAAAATATTGAAGTGAGTTTTTCATCAATTATAAAAGAATATAATAAGCATATGGGAGGGGTTGACCTCCTTGACTCACTTATTGGGAGGTATAAAACTATAATACATTCTAAAAAATAGTACATGAGATTATGGTATCATTTGACTGATGTTGCTGTGGTCAACGCATGGCTTCTTTACAGAAGGGTAGAGAAATCTAAAGGTAATAAACCTACAATTACACTGTTTGATTTCCGTTCAGAAGTAGTTTCTTCACTTACTAAACCCTATATACCAACATCTAAAAGAAGAAAACCACCATTAATGGTGGAAACACAAATTGCAATAAAAAAAACAGACCTCATACATCAAAATTTCCATCAATTGATATTAGAACAGATTCTTTTAACCATTGGCCAGATTTCAAAGAAACAAGACAAAGATGTAAAATGCCTGGTTGTGGAAAATTAACTTCATGTACCTGTACTAAGTGCAATAATTATTTTTGTTGTGGTGTAAATAGAAATTGTTTTACTCTTTTCCATAATAACTAACATTTATTTTACCAATTTTTTATGATCTAATGTATTTTTTTTATACCAAAGGAAGTTTTTTAATATGAAAAGTTTATTGTTTTTTAATTATGTTACTTATATGAAAGGTATATTGTTCTTTTTTAAGTTTTTTTAAGGATGTTACTTATATAAAAAGTTTATTGTTTTATTTTATTTTGTATTTGATTAAATACATTTAATTTTTTTTAAATTTATTTCTTTAAATATTATATTAAAATATTGGTGTAAATAGTATTTTTGAAGTCTGCGCTGCACAGTGTATCATGTGTGATACATTTAAAAAAGATTGATTCCTGTATTAAATTTTTATAATTAGAAGTCAAAAATATTTTTTTGTTGTTATTTGACCCATATTACATCAGAAAAATATTTTTTCAAGTCAAAATTTGGATGTAAATATTTATATGTGCATTGTAGAGATAACATAATTAATTAGGTATTAATTAAATTGATTAATACATGGAAGTAAGACTCCTCGTAATACAAGCATAAAACAGATAAGTCATAGGTAAGTACCTATGATTTATTTGGTGACGAGGTGACCCATCGACAAAGGTATTATATACATAATTATAAGATACTTTTATCACTGTATAATGTTTTTTAACTGTTTTGATAATGAAATAAATAAATAAATAAAAACACACAAAAGTTCTATTTAGATTCTATTTAGATACGTATTAATTAAAATACACCAAATGGTTTCGTAGGTAGTCGAAATTATAGCCGATAGAAATGTTGGTAAAGCGTCGGCACACACCTCTGACCTTTTTAAAATGTATAATTAGATATTCAACGTCGACGAATCGTGCGAATAACATTAACATGTATTTATACCGAACCATGGCGATGATATTAATAATTAGAATTTAGAATCGTGTGGGAATCAAATAGCGTTAACGCGGTACAGTGATCGACGGCGAACTCGATGCCGTTTGAATAGACTATTCTAAGAGTGTTGTACTGCTCGTGGATAGGTATCGCTCGAGTATTGAAATAATAATAACTGTAATACATTACATCCAGTAACGGGTTAAGAGGGGTGGCAAAGGGGGCAATTTCTTAACGGCGAAAACGAAACCTTTGAATTTTTCTAATATATTATAATTTTTAGGAAGAAATATTCATTATTGAAAAACATGTACCTATAACAAATAATAATAATAGAAATATAATATTAAATCACCAACCGCAGAATTATCAGCGAGTGAGCGTTCAGCGTATTACTAGTATAAACATATTATTATTGTAGCATTCGGAATTTTCCATTATCCTATTATTTTCGAGTACCTATATATTGTTTGCAATACAGCAATACTTACAGCAGTTAACACACTGGCACATAATCGTGTTTGTTATGTATCCGTGTGGATGTATTATAATTTATAACCATTAGATTATTAAATTTGATATTTAAATGTTATAATAATTGCAGTATTAAACTTTTAATGATTTATTTGTACACCAACGAGCAATTTTTTATTATTCTATCGTATACTCGTCTTTTGAGTGTTATACACCGTATTAGTAGTCTCGTCAACTGTCAAGTCGTATTTAATTAATTAAAAAACAAAAGGGCTTACTACTTCCTATTATTTTATGTATAATGCGATTTTTTTTCAATTAATGTAAGTAGAAAATGCATAAAGTGCTGGTTAATGGTGCTGAATGTTTAAACTAAATACTAATAGTTATATCATATTAAAACTAACGATGTTACGATGTGTTTATAAACATCGATCAATTAAAGTTTTAACGTTGTTATTTATATTATTATTTTTTAATGCTGGGTACGACGGTCTTGTAAAAAGTGGCATTTTAAAATCAGCCCCCAGACATCATATTCGTTAACCCGGCACTAATTACACCGAGTGTTTTTTTTTCTACTTAGAAAAGGACGCGGTGCTTCAGCTGATGCTGTTGCTTCTCCAAGGAACATCAACACGTGTTGTCCGAAACACGTTTATACCGTTGTCACGATTACGCTCTCTTCCACAAATATGTATAATAAACTAGATTGCTAACTGATGATAAGATGTGAAGCCATTATCCGCCATTTTAATCGAGGCCGATGTAGATTTTGCCTTATCAATTTTTATCATTAATTGTCAGTTGTGCATTTATTTAGAAATTATAATAGTTTATACTATATTTCCAATCATGCCATATAAGTGCTGTGTTGATGGATGCCGTAGCAAGGACGGGGTTGTTGGTTCAACTACGAAATTATTTAGGTATTTAAATACTCAACACATAAATCATGTCACCTCACGAAGATTCTCTTTTTTCAATTAAATGGAAATATAAGCACCAGAACAAAATTTAGAAAATTAACTTGATATTTCATTATTAGCAGAACAGTACAATAAATTAGATTTTAATAGCATCACTGAAAATATATTATACTACATATGTGGATATATTGTTAAAAAACTAATCCCAACTTTAAAATGTGATGGTTGTATTGAAGCCATTACAGAACCATTAATTGAAAATGATCACATTTATCAAAATAATACCACACTAAAAAATTTTACAATTATGAAAAACAGAGGTGGTTTGAAGTATGCTTCTGATGGGGTGTACAAAATTGTTAAATTGACAGAAACATTATTTAAAACCATTATGATGGATAAAAAACAAATGTTTATTAAAAATATGGATTTAAAAATTATGATAAGTGTACAAAACTCATTAGCGACAAACGCTATACTATTTCCAGAATGTGATACTTGCTGGAATTCAACAGATTTATTGGCAAGACCTCACAAAATTGACATTATAAACAAAGTAACCAGAACCTACCTTAATGTGAGATTATATTCTTATAGTAATATAATAACATCCTCGATTATGAAAACTGCTAGTAAACGACAGAAACTCAGTAAAACCATTTTATTTTATAACATGTAAAAATTGTTAACCTATCAGAATAAACTATGTTAATAATTGTTATTTATATTTAGATGGAAAATTTATATAAATGAGAAAAATAAAGTGCAATAAAAATGTTTTTTGTTTGGATACTTGTTCTATAATTAATTAATTTTTTTTATCAGTTTCTTTATCAAACAAATCTAAGGCTATGATAAAGCACATAGGCCTCGAATTAAATGGCTGTCGTCTGCTTCAACTAATCACATGAGTAAGATGCAACAGTTAGCAATCTCGTTTATTATACATATCCGTGCTCTCTTCTTATTTACATCGGCGTAAGGTAAAACCAACAGACCAACAGGTGAACGTACCAAGACACACTACAATCCCTACTACTACTACTACTCCTACTACTGCTAGTACCACTACTATAACTACTACTTTTTTTTTATCTTGGTACGTCGAACCGGGGGAGTACTGCCTCTGCTAACCATGTAAATCGATTATATTATCAACACGGTTACGGACGAGTTTATACAACACTAATAAATATTGAAGTTAATCGCTTAAACTTCGAACCAAAACAATAGAAATATTAAATAGTTTACACATATAATATATATATATGTATATATATATATATTTTATATATATTACTTCGCGATGGTAGAAAATAAATCTGAAGGTAGGTGGAACCATGAAACTTAATTTTATTTTTGTAAAAAATTGCGATAGATACTTTTTATTTTTGTTCTCGGTACGGTTTTAATCACACACTAGTGATAATTTATTCTGTTACAGATGACGTGGTTACAACAACGACTTTTCTCACTGCACAATCCGTACGATTGGATAAAGCCATTGAAATGATCGGTAAGTTCATTCGTATAAAATTTAATAACATAATCAAAAAAGGCATCGTTACTAGAGATTAGTGATGGGCGTTATTGATAAAAACTATCGAATTATTCGATAGTCTCGCCAAGTTATTTATTCAAATAACCGATAACGATTATTCGAATAATTATTTATTATTCAATCGAATAATTATTTAATTTTTAATTCGGTATAATTTTATTATTTAATATTATTATTAAATGTTTAGAAAGTACAGTAATTTTATCAGTATTTTATTAAACCTTGGAATAAAAAGCCGCGTTATTACAGCGCGTGACTACACAACAGTTGCACTGTTGAGATTCATTAGATAAAATTACTGGCGCACACAGGATTTTTTTTTCGGGGGGGATCAAAGTAAAAATATAACACGTTTTATAATTAACAAAGTTATGCAAATCCTTAATATATTTTGACTTAAATAATAGCACTAATAATAGAATAGACTATTCTATAATCAATGATACTAGGTATTCAATACTAGTTCTTCATATTTCAAACTTGTAAAATTTGTAAATTTTAACCTAGACATCGGAGAAAATTTCGGGGGGGAGGGGGTAACAACACCTTAACACCCCCTCCCCTTCTGCGTGCGCCACTGGATACAATGGTGGGTATGAATAGTAAATACCTGGTATAATTATATATTTATAATAATATACTATAATTCAGATACTCTTATTTTTTACACAAAAATATGTAGCTGTTACATTTTAAAAGTATTATTATTTAAAAATCTAAGCTAATTTTAGTAAAATATTTTAAATTTATATATATTTTTTGTATTATTATTTGCGTGATTATTTTTGGAGAAAACGTATGATTTATATTTTTAGCCCAATATATTAATATAAACAAGAGAAAACTGGTGAATAATTTAGAAAAATACACTTTGCGTATGGATTAAGTATGATCGCCGGCAAGCTTATGCGAATAATTATCGACAGTACAGAGAACAGTCTACAGATTATTCGAATTATTCAATGGTATCGATTATTCGATAGTTTTGATTATTCAATAATATTATTCAATAGTATAGATAAGTCGAATAATTATAATAATTATAATATAATAATATTATAATAATAATAATTATAATAATTATAATATAATAATATTATAATAATAATAATTATAATAATTATTCGATAGTTTTAATTATTCAATTGTGCATAATATTATTCGAATAATTATTCGATAGTATATATGAAAAATCGAATAATAACTATAGTACAAATTATTCATTACCGCCCATTACTACTATAGTCTGTTCGATTAACGCTATGTCCTACGTGAACGCGGCAAACGCGATAAACGCTTTGCGGTGCGAGCGACGCAGCGAAAAAAATTTTCAAACATATAAAAATAGATTAGATTGTCCATCGTACGCGATATAAACATAGGCGACGCGAACGAATGAATTTGTTAGCGTTCGCCGCAGGGTTTGAAAATCAAATCATTTTGTTTTTGGTCGCGCGTTGAAGCGAGTAGACGTATTTTGAAGCTGATGTTTTAACTTTGTTGTATGATCAATATGGAGCTTCTTATATCTGAGGTACAAAAAAAAAATGTTCTCTGGAATAAATTTAATAAAAAGTATAGGGACAGATTGGTGTCTGAGAAAGAATGGGAAGCTGTTGCTAGAACAGTACTTATGAATAGCAATTAGTCTGTTAAATAATTATTATATTATATTAATATTATATTAATAGTTCAAAATAGTTTGAATAGTATAAAAACATTTAAACCTACAGATATGAGATAATTTTCGTAATTAATTTGGCATGCAGATCATTTGACACAACATTTGTTATAATAAGTATCAATTTTATTTTATTATTTAAAAAAATTATAATTATTGGAATAGTATAGTGACAAAATATGTGTTTCCAAGTATGTTATGATTATAAAATACAGGGTGTCCCGTGAGGATTTACCCATTGTGATATTAATGTTTGTAGACAATTATTTTTAAATTTTATTATCTATAAAATACTTCACAAATCTATTTCTTATATTAATTGCGGTACTTGACGCTCGATTGTTTACTCTGCTTTTGTAATTCAGCGATATCATTTGATTATGGCCCTTCGATATGTCTGTTTCGTAATCGTTTAGGGCGTAATGTTGTGTTGATGATTTTTTTCCAAATCTATTATTGTATTGTGTAAAATACAAATAGCCTTTACAATATGATCCGCGTTTTCTACTTTTGTTTCTATTGATTTTAATAGAATTCGAAAATTTGATGAAGCTATGCCGAATGCACACTCGATTGTCATTCGTGCTCGCGCATGTCTATAGTTGTAATACTGTTTTTCGTTTTCTTGACACTGTTTTCTTGGAAAAGGCCTCATTAAGTAATTTCTCAATGGAAAAACTTCATCTCCTATAAACACAAAAGGAGCCAAGACGTTCGAATTTGGTAATTTTATTTCATTCGGTAGTTTAAGCGAACCGTTTTCGATACGTTGGTAAAATTTAGAATTTACCATTACACCACCATCGCTATCTTTCCCGTATCCACCCACGTCTATCATCAAAAATCTATAACTCGCATCAGCTACTGCCATTAGAACAATCGAGTGATATTGTTTATAATTAAAATACTTACTCCCGGAATTTTCAGGGCATCACAATCTGATGTGTTTGCCATCGATACTTCCCACACAGTTTGGAAAATTCCATTTTTCATGAAATTCTATTGCTGTGCTTTTAAAAGTATCGACGCTTGGAATAGACATGTGTTTGAATTTTAATGTATTCCATATTACTTTACACACTTCAACAACAATGCTTGAGACTGCGGACTTAGATATTCTAAATGAAATTGCGATTTGCCTGAATGCTAGTCCTGTTGCTAAATACCTAAAAAAAAAAATACATTTTCACAAATTTAGTTTCAAATAAAAATTGATTCACAGGAGAAGACGTAAAACGGAAATGGAAAAATATAAGAGAAACGTATTTAAAAGAAAAGAAAAAAGTAAAAAAGAGCCGTTCGGGAGACTCTCAAGATGATGCAGAGGTGTATACTGGTAAATGGGTCTATTATCATTTATTGCATTTTTTTAAAAGACACAACCACTCCTAGAACCACTGAGGGAAATGTATCTGATGAAAACGAAACGCAATTACAAATGTCTGACCTTTCAGATTCGGAAGAAGTTAATTCATTTTCGAGTAGTTTTATTGATATTGAAGATATTCAAAGTCCTGAAAATCCAATTTCTGTCACACAATCAGAATTTTTTACCATTCCAAGTACTTTAAATTTATCGCATGTTAATATTTCAACAAGTATTTCCAATGATTCAGATACCTCTTCTAAGACTTCTTCAATCAAAAGAAAAAAAAAGCGAGAAAATAAAAGTTTTGAAAGTGAATTATTAAAATTGGAAACACAAAAAATTAACGCGTTACTTGAATCTAATAAACCACAAGTGCAGGATGATGAAGACATGATGTTCTTGAAATCACTTCATCCATATTTAAAAAACATGGATAATTTACAAAAATTACGAGTAAGAAACGAAATTCAAACTGTACTAATTAACCTATTGTCAATAAAGAATCAGCAACATCAAAATTCAAACGTCCCACCTGCACCAATACATGAACTCTACATTCCTCAACATATTCAAGAACAGATTACCACAAATTCGTCAGATAATCCAACTTTCATTGGTTACCAACAGTACTGAGACTGAGTAACAACAATATCGAAATTAAAAAAAAGAAAAAATTTAAAACCAAAGGAAAATTTACTTTTAAGGACTTCTATTTTGTTTTCAAAATACAATGGTTTTTATTTATTTTTCATTACTTCATTTTTTTAATAAATTTTTAATTATTATATTAATATATGCTTTTTTATTTTACTTACCTTATTGTTACAAGTAATCTCTGCTCTACGGAAATAGGTTCTTGGAAATTTGTGGTCTTGAGATCAAATTCCGGTGATATTAATTTTAAAATATAATCAAATGTATCGGTAGTCATTCTAGTATAAGATCGAAATGAAGTTTCATTTTTTCGCAACTGTGGGTATAGGTGAAAGAATTCACCAAAAACAAGTCTATCTTTATAAATAATTGAATTTACAACTGATCTTCTTTTTTTTAAATATTTTTTATACAGTAAATATTTTAGTGTAGTACTTTCGAATAAAAATAATTGTTTTTGTAAATTCGATGACATTTTTAGTTGACTTAGTCTTTAACAAAAAGTTAAGAATGAAAAATATAAAAGAGCTGAACATAAACACATATACCGCACATTACACTTCAAAACACACTGCACGTCTGAACGTCAAAAAAACAAAAAATATCGGAATATTGTTAGCCGCAAATTCGCGTTCGCCGCAAATAGGTAGGACACGATTGCGAGCGGCGAATGCGACCAATGCGAATTCGTTCGCATCATTCGCAAATTCGCGTTCACGTAGGACATAGCGTAAGAGTGCCCAAACTCTTGCATGTCTTCTGAGATGCCGATAACGGTCGGACACCCATCGATATCTAGACGCTCTAGCATTCGTTGCCATTGTTCGGCCGCCGTCGTTGTTTATCAAAGTCGGTGACTGCCGCCTTGTATACAGATTATTATTATTAAAAAAAAAAAAAAACTTGTTATAAAAATAGAATTGTAGCTTAGCGTTACGAGAAGAGTGAGGTAATACAGTTTAAATGGTTGTTACCCCCCCCCCCCCAAATTTTCTCCGATGTCTAGGTTAAAATTTATAAATTTTACAAGTTTGAAATATGAAGAGCTAGTATTGAATACATTCATTGAATATAAAATAGTCTATTCTATTATCAATGCTATTATTTAAGTCAAAACATATTAAGGATTTTGTTAATTGTAATATGTGTTATATTTTTACCTTGAACCCTCCCTTCCCCGAAAAAAATCCTGTGTGCGCTACTGAGGACTTAAAATGCATAGAATTTATTGTACTATTTACGTTTGAGAGAATATCAAGACCAGTGGCACAGGAACTATTTTTCATTATTTTTCAAATTATAGTTTTGTCCCCCCTTATATCAGAGAGGTCAGTTTCTCCTACCCCCTTATCTGATGACACTGCAAAGACATAAGGCAAATTGAAAAATAACGAATATTCTAATTCACTGTAAATATTAATAGAGCTAATAACGTCAGAGTTTAAATTGTGTATCATATTTATAGATTTTATATTATATTTAGAGATAAAAAACACAGGATGATAATGAAACTTTCGTTAATTTCAGTCATGATAACTGCTCCGAAAAACTAGCTCACGTTGCTGTTGCGATCCTCTCGTCTAAAATCGAGTATATTTTGAGGTTATACAACAAATATCTAAAAATATAAATTTTAATAGTAATTGATAGTGAATAACTTAAACATATATAGTAGAACAGAGGTATTTATTTTCGCTGACGCATCTACAAAACAAATAAAAAATTAATCGTGCCTACCATGAATTAATAAAACAAATTTTTTATATTATTTTAATAAAAGCAAATTACTGCCAATCTAAAAATAAATATAGGATAGTGTAATATATAACATATCATATATATTTAATAAATATATATTTGCCTTGCGCCTTCCTCAATAATTGCTTTCGCATCCATAGGGAGACGCGCCTCACAGTTTGGGATCAACTGTAGTGGAATATTATTATGATTATTATTATTATTATTATTATTATTATATCATCTATGGATTTACGACAAAAAGTCATAGGTACCACCGAAATTTAACTACTGTAATTTCGTATCTAACAATGTTAAATACAATAGTTTTCACAAAGTATCTAGGTTTAAAAATAGATTTCGAAATTAGACCTTTAAATCACCGGCTGCAAATTAACGACAATTATGCGTTGCAAATACGTTTGTAACAAACTCGTATATTATACTAATATTATTCTATTTTCGTAATAACTAATAATCACTTTTTTAAAATTCGTCAAGTGTACCCGTCAAATGTTCGATCTGGTATTTTGTATCATAGTCTTCTTTGTGTTCTCTTTCTGCTTCATGGTATTTTTCAATTATTTATTCAAAATTCTCGTAAATTTCGATGATAAGGCTTTCTGAATTAAGTTTTCGTCATTTGAACAGTTTGTACATGCTTGTTAACAAGCCATGTCTAGTTTATACCAATCTTGCTTCTCTATCTCTTACTCAAGTAGTCGCACGTCACCATTCATTGGCGTAGTAACTATCAAATTCAAATGTGGATTGGAAATAAAGAAAATCCCCTAGGTTGGGGTTGAAAGAATTCTAAAAACGGTATTTTTCCAATCTCCACGAATAATGATCCGACTCCAAAACCTGTCTGAAATACTGTTCGTGTAAACTGCTTTATATCAATTGCACCGAAAATCGCAGGTAAAGAAAGAAAAATTATGGGATGGAAAAATGTATACATCTATTGCACCGGTATAAAAAGGGTATAATTTATAGGTATATATCAATTGCGCCGATCGATATTCGAGTTAATACATTTTGCGATTACCTCATTGATACATATATTGATGAAAATACAACTTTTCCCCCGTATCTTTGGTCATCGTGTAACATATCATACGAAATAACAACAAATGCTTGTGAGGTATTTCACTCAGCGTTTGGGAAATATTTTTATTCACCCTTTCAAATATTTTTGTTTTTTATAAAGTTTTAAAAATAATGTAACGTAACAATCATAATACGTGTTATCTTAGTTATTACAAATATACCAAACTCTAAATTTATGACCAAAAAATAAATAGTAAAATAGACGTAATTAATTTTAATATTAGACCTAAGAACTATTCAAAATTTGTAGGATATATACTATGTATACTACTTTGTAGGATTATATATATATATATACTATTAATGTAAATACCAAGTATGTAGAATGATAAGTTAGATTTTAGTTTTAATTTTTGTTTTTGGCCATTATAATTTTTACTTGTAGTGTATAGTTGTTATACCAGCGCAATACATGTATACTATACAGGTAGAGTCCCAAATTCGGTGCAATTGATGAATACCGGTGTAAATGTGTGAAAGGATGCAGTGGATCGTGTAGTTACCGGAAACAAGGCATAACTTTTTTATATTGACTTTATTTAGTGTATTCAATGTGTAACTCGATTCGTCATAAATATTTATTTAAAAATAATGTTTTGTTTACTAATTGAGTTCTGAACAAAAGTATAACCATGTGCATTTTTAACAGTTCTGATTTCAAACGTGTTTAATCTCGGATAAACTGTATGATAATACGTCAAAATCAATTGAAAATCAATACATCGAATACATATAAATTAATATATATTTTTTGGTTAACAGGTTTCGGAAAATTTCATTATTATATGTTATTTATTTGTGGAACAGTTTACATAGCCGTCAGTATAAGTTTGACTTCGGTATCATTCATTGTACCGTCAGCACAATGCGATTTTCAAATGACTTCTTTTCGGAAAGGATTCCTCAACGGAGCTTCGATGATCGGTACGTATGTAATTAATTATATATATATATATATTATAAAATAATTATTTGTCCGTGGTCTTTATTGCGTAGGAATGTGCATTGGAAGTTTCATTTGGGGCTACATATCGGACTCCTACGGTAGAAGAAAGGCATTGATATTCTGCATGCTGATGGATGGTTTATTCAATCTCGTATCTAGTGTATCCCAGATTTATTCAGTTTTTATATTTTGCAGAATGATGAGTGGATTCGGGTAGATAATATATACATATATACAGTGGTTTTATGCGCTAACCATGTGTTTGCGATTGTAGTGTTGGGTTAAAGGGTTTTCTATCGTCTCCACCATACAATTATTTCTGGTCTTATAATGTGCATGCGTTTATCTCGTGTCAGAGTTATATGGCAGTACTGGTTAATACATCAAACATCACTACTGTTTTAGAGTGTCTGGTTGTACAATAACTTATGCGTACCTTGGAGAATTTTTAAACGCCAAATATCGCGAAAAGTTTTTATGTTGGATGGAGATTTTCTGGACGATTGGCGTAATACTACTTCCGTGTAAGTCGCTTATAGTTTACTTTTAATTAGTCTCACATTTCCAGTGATTTATAACCATAAAACTTAATTGAATAAAATTGTACTTGGCATTCATTTTATCATTCAGTCGTCGATTTACTCGAAATTCTTATCGATTATCTTCTTTCAATTATTTGTTAATTTATTGTGTAACATATATTTTACCTAAATTTTACATACATTCGGGTATCTAAAGCTTCAGATTTTTTTTTTTAAATTGTACATTTTAACGTTTTTGTATTGTAAATGTATACTATAAGTTAAGCAATACAAATGCTGAACAGTATACAATTGAAATAAACCATAAATTATGTTTTTTAAAAGCGAAAGTAAATGTTTATGAAAATGGTAAAATACAAAGTTAAACAATAATCTAACACTTGCAAGAGTATTAAATCGCACTGAAACATTTTAAATAAAATGTATTAAAAAATCTAAGTTAGATCTTAAAGGTGATTTTAATAATTTTTATTTCATGAATACTATGATTACTCCTAACGGTTCAATAACAGTTTAGTATATCTTTCAGGTATAGCGTGGATAATTATACCGCAAACATTTCGAATCGAAAGTGGATTCTTTTTGTTCAGGTCGTGGAATTTATTTGTAATTATTTGTTCTCTTCCGAGTATAATAACGACGTGCTTATTGATGTTATTACCAGAAAGTCCAAAATACCTACTCGTTAAGGGCAAACACGAAGAAACCCTTGATTGCTTGAGATTCGTCCATAGGTGGAATAATAAAAAGACCGACCAGAGTTTCCCTGTAGTTATTCCGTTTTATTGCTAAGTTAAAAAAGAAATAACTAAAAAATTGTCACCAAATATAAAAATAAATTGTTATCGTTTCAGGTGATTTCGTTGACGTTGCCGGATCGCATTAGCGAAACGAGCAAAGGTTTCTTTAGCGGGATGGGCAAGAGCCTTTTCGAATTGATCACGTCGAAGTACAAAACCGTGCTCGCGATTACATGTATCATGCAGTTCTGCGTGACCGCCAGGTAATATCTGCTGTTGCGCGCCCGAAAACAGTGTCTTGCAGTACACGTGAGTCAAGTGGTAAACGGAAAAAAAGTCTCCCGTTGCAGTGTAAATAAAATGTTATTTCCTTTATAGTTGCTATTTTATTTATGAAATAAATTGGGTTGACAAATATTATTTGTAGATAGTAAATGACAATTTATTGACATGAGCTACAATTTGATGGTTATACGCACGTTGGTAATATACAGGTACATATCATACGTAAAAATAGGTTCTCCCATCTCGTGGGCGTTAAACATCCTGGTAAATGTGTCAAGAATGGCATCTACCGGAGTAGGAGAAATTAATCGGAAAAAACCAGAGATGGTCAAAAAGTTGAAATTCGATTGAACATTTGTTATGTCGACGTCTTAATGGAGATAGATCCGCAGACGTTCCTTATTTTTTAAAACTTATTGGTCGAAATACAAGAAAGAGATATTTTTTGTATCCGAATAAATGATGACTTTTGGTCCGGGGACTTTATTTTCTGATATCGCACTAAGTCGGTTCACCGGATGAGATTATTGCTTGCGCTGAACGTGTCCACCGGTGTCTTGTGTTGCATGTGCGGCAGTTACTACATGATGATGCTGTGGTTTCCAGAGTTGATGAACAGGTTGCGATGGTACGAGACAACGTACCCGAGTGCCCAGAACAAGACGACCATGTGCGAAGTGTTGTCCATGTACAAAGTCGAACCGAACGCGTTGGCCGACGTCAGGTGCAACGACGACATCGACGGGTCCGTGTACTTGAACATCCTGATCGTGGGCGTCGCTTGCCTGCCTCTTTGTTTCATCGTGCCGCTGTACGTCAACAAACTCGGGCTCAGGTTTTTCTTGGCAACGTGTCTGTTTGGGTCCGGCTTGACTGCTGTTTGCTTGTACTACATCTCGTCGTCGATGGAAATCCTCGCGTTCGCTTCCGTGTTTGAAGCTCTTAGCAGCACAGGTTTCGGACTGATATTTTGCGTCGCCGTGGAACTATTTCCCGTAGAATACACGGGCTTGGCTGTAGCGATAGGCTCCACGTTCGGTAAAATCGGTTCAATTGTGGGCAACGTCGTCGTCGGAATTTTCATCGACGCGTATTGTATTGTTCCGATCGTGGTATCGTGTTCATTTTTGCTATTTTCAGGATTTCTGATTTTTACATTACCGAAAACTATAAGAAATGACAGCAAAGGAAATGAAAATT